CTTGCCCCCAACCCTCCCCCCGCCCCCAGCAAAGCGGGGTGCTGCCTCCCCCGCAGAGGGGTGCATTCCAGCCCCGCGGGGATTAGTCCTTGTGTAAATAGTCCCTCTGCTAATGGAGCGTCCTCCTCGGCTGGGTTTAGATTCCCTGGCTGTGTGTACGCACGCCACCCACCCGCAGAACTCCCCCAACGTAAACACGGCTGAGCCTGAGGGATGCTGGCTCCAGCGCCCCCGGGATGCGGGAGGACGGGGCTCAGCCTCCGGCCCCACCACCCATGGCCGTTTCTCCAACGCCAAACGTCCGGCGGAGGACGGAAGAAGAGGAGCAGTCCTCAGGGAAGAGCTAGCCCGGAGCTGTCGGGGCTGGAACGAGGAAGCGGCGGAGGAAAGGCCAGCGAGAAGCCAAGGGAGCAGATGGGGGATTGCAACAGAGCAGCGGAGCGGCCGGCACGGCCGGGGGTCACGTACGGCTGTGTCCCGCTCGGGGCTTGTCCCCAAACCCTCCAGACCTGGCGCTTCAAGGAGGAAAGGAAGCAGGGGCACGGGGAGGGGGATGCGACGCAGGGGCCTCGGGGGCAAACCTTATCCATCCACCGGGCACCTTCTCCCCAGAAACTGCCCCTGGGGTCCCCTCCCCACACCCTGGTCCCCCAGGATGAGGGATCTGGCATGGGATGGGGACGAGGGCCATGAGCCGGGCTCTCTGGAGCCGCTCTGCTACCAAATAAGGCCTCTGTTGAGCCTTTTACATGCCGTTCTCACCCGGCCAGAGTGACGTGACCTCCTTTCCAAATTGCTCCCCCCCTCCCCCCTCCAGGCTCCTTGGTGGGGAACCCCCCTGGCCCCCAGCTCCCCTGCACCGAGGGGGTCCCCCCAGCCTGGGGAGGAGGCAGGAGGAGCAGGGCCAAAGTGGGGGCTTGTCCCACCGCGCACCACCCTGATCGACCTCCCTGGGATGGGCGCTGCTTCTCCCTCTTTTTTGGGAGGGGGGGCACAAAGCTGAAAGGCCAGCCCCAGGGAGGGGGGAGGTTTGCAGGGTGCAGTAGCTGGGCAGCCCCCTTCCCCTTTGCTTAAGCAAATACTCGACAGCTCCAGCTCTTCCAGCCGGGGCTGGGAAAAACTCGTGCAGGGAAAATACCCGCCTGGCACCAGAGGAGCCACCGCCCTCCTAGCGTGTCCCCAGCATGGTGGGGGACCCTGGTGCCTCGCAGCTGTCCCCTCCAGAGACTCCTCATGTCCAGCGTTCCCCCACAAGGTCAGGGGGTCCCCAAGGGCCAGCGGTGCGATGGCCGATCCCTCATCCTCCCGGATCCAGCAAGGGCTGCCCACAGAACACACCATGCCGTCGGGAAAGGCAACAGGCCACCAGGGACATGTCCCACTGCCATGCCCGTCTGAGCCACATCACCTCGTCACCCCCAAGGACCCGGCAGCATCGGCCGCCCTGCACCCAGCGAAAAAATTCCCCATGATTGGAGTGCTTGGGGGAACTTTGGGAAGTTTCAGGCTGGAACCGCTTCTGGAATATAAAAAGCCAAGGTAGGCGACAGCGGGCGAGCGGGTGTGCGGTGCAGCCTGGCGTTATCTATCAACCAGAGCCCCCACCAAAAAGCCACCGGGGATGTGCTGGGAGCAGCCCTGCGGGTGAAAGTCGAGGAGGAGATCCTATCTGCCGGCTCCCACCCTTCCCAAAGTCCAAATTCCCATCTCAAGGTCACGGGCAAAACCAGGAACTTTGCGGTTGCGACAGAGGAAAACCCGCTCTCCTCTCCGTGGCGGGGTTTTGTCTCCCGTGGGGCGGGGGGGGGGGGGGAAGGGTTTCGCACAGCTTTGGGCGTGAGACCCGCGGGAAGGGAGG